GGGGATGAAAAGAATGCTTGATTCACATATTATAAGCGGGGTGAAATATGATTAGACGTGACCTGAAATCTCAAGATAATTTATCATAACTTTTATAGGCATAATGAGAGAAAAGAGGGATATATATTGAATCACAAATCTACTTCTGGGACATTTTATTGGGAGAAATGAAAAGTCAAAAGCATGATATATGGCAGATGCAATCCCAGGGAAGAAGAAGAAAAGAAGACAGCAGAATTATATAAAGATAAAAATGAAATAAAATCACCAAAAATTGGAACATTGGGCATCAAACATCCAAATCTAGAAAGCAGCATTTCCTTAAAGTTAGAAAAACCGTGGATGACCTTGTTTGGCTCATTAAGCTATGCTGTATCAATTCTGTATAAAACCAGCAAGTAAGTGGCTAGTATGTATGCTGCTGTTAAAGACCATGTATATGTATGTATGTATGTATGTATGTATGTATGTATGTATGTACGTACGTATGACATTCAGCTTTGTTCGGGTATTTTCCCACGCAATTGTAGTTGTGCTTTTAAAGTTGTAGCAACGTTTTGGCAGAATCTCATCTGCCATCATCAGGCTTCTGTATAGTGTTCAACTGTGAGTCAGACTTTTACAGTGGTTTCAGATTTAAATTTGGGGCAGCCTATTGCTGTGCCAGAATGGTTTTTTCTTCAACCTGATTGGTTGGGAGTCTTAGTCTGTGTTTATTGGTCTCGGAGTTTGCTGTGTTCTGCTTGATTGGTGTTTCTAATATCTTCTGTCTGTTTTTTGGCTCTTTTTGTATCTTGATTGGCTGGCAGCATTGTGTTACTTTATTGGAGGCCTTTAGTGCAGTTTGGCTTCGGGTAAATGGACGGCTATCATTAGTTAGGAAGCTGGGTTTCATCTGGGTGCCTGGTTGGGGTGTGTTTGAGCTGGAGGTATGAGGGGGGATCTGTTTGTGCCCAGGTGTTTGCCTGGCTTGTGGTGTGGAGATTGTTTTGTTTCTGAGTGCAGGCTTCCAAATGATTGACAGCCTGGTGGAATCATCTCTTCTATTCATGCTTCCTGGTCTTTTTTCAATCTCTATGGCTTCTCTGATGATTCTGTGGCTAGGGTTTTCTATAGTGGCTAGGGTTTTGGTGCCATTGAAGTTGATGCTATGACCTGTGGCTTCCATGTGTTGGACTAGTGAGGAAGTGTGTTCCATCTTTTTGACTGCATTTTTGTGTTCATCCAGGCGGGTACTTATTCTTCTATTGGTCTGTCCAATGTATGTGGCTGGGCATGATGCACAGGGGACTTCGTATATGCCTTGGTTTTCCAGGTCAATTTTATCTTTGGGGTTTCTAAGGATGGCTGCTATTTTTCTGTCTGTTTTGAAGGCAGTCTTGATGTGATGTCTGTGTAGTATCTTACTAATTTTGTCTGTAGTACCTCTTATGTAGGGCAGGGCAGCTGTTCCATAGGTCTGTTCATCTTCTGGGTCTCTATTATGTCTCAGTGTGTTTTTGTGGATCAAGTTGGTGATTTTGCTTTTGTGGAAGCCGTTGGCTGTCAGTACTTTAGTCAGGGTGCATAGTTCAGTCTTAATGTGTGTCTTGTCTGCCAGGCGTTTGGTTCTGGTAATTAGTGTTTTAGCCACGGAGTTTATCTGTGCTGGGTGGTGGTGGGATTGGGCGTTGAGGTAGCGGTTAGTGTGTGTTTTCTTCTGGTATACGGTGTGTCCTAGTGTGCCATCTGTTTTTTTGTAGATTAGTACATCTAGGAATGGTAGTTGTTTGTTTGTTTCCGTTTCCATGGTGAACTTGATTTTGGGGTGTGTGCTGTTTAGGTGTGTTAGGAAATTGTTTAGGTTTTCTTTTCCATGGGGCCAAATCACAAATGTGTCATCGATGTATCTTAACCATAGTTTGGGTTTGTGGATGGCATTGGCCAGGGCTCTGGATTCAAATTCTTCCATGAACAGGTTTGCAATGACGGGTGACAGTGGTGATCCCATAGGGGCTCCTTCAATTTGTTTGTATCTTTGTCCTTTGTATATGAAATATGTGTTGGTTAAGCAGTGTTCTGTTAGTTCCATGAGGTGTTTAGCTGGTTGGTATTTATTTTTGATGATTTCAAGGGTCTCTTTTATCGGGACTTGAGTGAATAGTGAAACCACGTCGAAATTTACAAGCAGATCTTCTTGCTCCACATGTAGATCTTTGATCATTTCCAAGAAGTGGTATGAGTTTTGTACATGTGAAGCTGCTGTTTCAGCATGGGGCTGTAGCTGTTTTGCTAAATGTTTAGCTAGGTTTTGTAGTGGTCCTCCTCTGGAGCTGACTATGGGTCTGAGAGGTATGCCTTCTTTGTGTATTTTTGGAAGGCCGTATATATGTGTGTGTGT